CCCCCCCCCTCCCCCCCTCCGAAAACCTCCCCAAATAAGAAATTTGGTATCATAGGTGTTGGGGAATTTTTTTTTCGGGCGCCCTTGCCCCACCTGTTATTATTGCATCTATCATACGTCGGGCTGCGCGTGTATTCAACCCTAACGTCTCCTCTAATTACCAGGTCAGTGCAACAGTGTACGAATGAGGCAGGCCAAGGAGTGACGTCCAACGTTTCTAAGGAACGGCTGGAGTCGGCACAGCGCGACTGCATGTCGGCATGCCTGAACGTCATCTCTTCACGGGGAGAAGAACCAGGTGTGTGCCCGAGACGTTACTTCACGCAATCTCTGCAAGCAAAGCTGCGTGTGTGTGTTGCTGCTGTACTTGGGTCAAACGGATATGCGCGCGTTGTATGCATACGTTCCTCACTCCATACAATGGACCGGCGGCTCAGTCAAACAAACGCGACAACGGCGTCACTGATAGCTTCGTCTATCATCATGCCCGCGGTTGAGAGATTGCTGTAGATAGACTGGTTGCTGGTATGATTCGGCGGTCGATGACGCTCGTTCAACAGCCGGCTACGAAGCGACTTGTGGCTATATGGAAGCAAGAAGCACTGGGGACAACACCTTTTCTCCTCTCCTGCTCTTGCTTCCCGGGGGTCACTTTCCAAGCAGGTGGTATCCTCAAGGCCGCCAGCATCTTCGTGGGGAAGATCTCTTCGACCTACACGGACGAGACAATCGAGCGCGTCAAGACGATAAGTAAGGCAAGAAGATTGTATTTATTTACTCACACGATTTCCCGAGCAGCACACAGAGAGATATCTCCCCCGTGGTTCACAGGGTCAACAAGACAGTTTGGTAGCCATCTGTTGCATCTATCTGTTGTGGACTATGTTTTGCTGGGAAGGTATAGAAGGAAGGTGTTGGGTAGTTGGTTCGTCGGGTGTGTTGTTGGTGTAGAACCCTTCTGGGATTATAATTGTGCAACAGGTAAATTTCGGGTTGTTGTGCGCGTAGCAAAGTACAGGTAAATTTTTCATCCCCCCTTATTTTTGGAATCTCAACATCTCCACGAAAAACTGGTTCTAATGACTTCGGTTCAGAACTCTGGTTCGCGTGGCTCCAAATCGAAAGAAATCAATTTTTGATACTTTTGTTAAATTTCCCTGCGGGCAGAGTACTGTGGAAAGGAAATTCGGCGAACTCGGGGTAGATTGCCTCGATTCCAGAGAGAAAAAAACTGGGTCCTTGTCATTCTCAGGCGAATCCATCCCTCCAAGACCATAAAATACGTGATACAGGAGTGTACTACTGTGAGGGTAAGGGTCAAGAATAGTGAAATTCTTTGTGCAGCCCGAAGATCGCGTGATGGTCATGGTTACACGAAGACAGGGGTTCGGTTCCGCGTGGCTCGAGTATTTTCTCCTGTCTTTTTTTTTTTCTTGAATTTGGTTTTGTTCGTTTGGTCCTGGAGTCTTGTCCGACATGGTCGCGGGGATCATGAACATGTTGTTTAATTAGTGACCGCCTTGAAAGCTATTGAGGGCCAACCAAAAAGGGCTCCTTGAGCAATACCACAGCTGCTGTGATAAAGTCATGCATTCATGATTGGATATGCCATAGGTGTTGTGGTTGTTGGTGACCGCGTGGGTAAGGTATATGCAGTGGGTGCTTCGCGGTAGATAGTAAGTTGTAGGGCCTTTCTCGGATTGGATGTTTTTGGAGAGCAAGGCAGCAGCAAGCACTGGTGTTCAAAGAGGTTACTATAATATTAATAATAACCAAGTGAGTCCTCATCAGGGTCTCCAGGGATCACTACTGTACGCGTGTAATCTGACAACAGAGGACTACTGTATAGGGGTATGCATTGGCATGATGGTAGAGGGGCCGTGTGGGGGTCGCGTGCGTGTGTTGGGGCAGGGGGTGCTTATCGTTAGAGGCTACAGAGAATGGCTGGCTGCCTCACCAGGTTAACTTGTGACACGGTTTTTCATCGTTAATGTTGTGTTTGGTTAACTAAGACGTCTTTTGAATGGAAAACACGGAGACAGTATTATAGTACCGTCTTGAGGGGGTAGATGATCTATTGATACTTATCATGGATCAAGAAACATGACCTGATATTTATTTGAAGATTCAAATGATTTTTTCCGAATTGGAAAGATGGATAATCTACATTTGAAATACCTACTTTCTCAACCTCCCGAGTATCGATGGGTTTCATATTTGAAGTACTATACTTACTCAACCATAGAGTACGGATGGATGAGTATTTACTTTTGGAATACTTACTCAAAGGCTTCAAATGGACAAATGCATTATATTAGTTGATTATCTTTACATGAGGATGTACTCAAGGATGAGCACCTGAGTATTGGTGGGTATTTTTTTAAATACTTACTTAGCCATCCGAGTACGGACGAGTACCGTTATTTTTGGAATAACAGGCTTTATTTTGTAAAAGTTGAGTATTTTTGAAACGCTGTACTTACTCAAAGATATACTCAAGGTTGAGTAAAATACTCAATATCTGAGTACGCATGTAGGTTTCTAATACTTACTTGTATTACCCCCTGAGTATTGATGAGTATTGTTGAAATGTTTACTCAACATTCCGAGTACGGTTGAGTAACATTGGAATACTTTGACGGCTTAGAAAAAGTTGAGTATTTGAAATAGTCGAGGATGAGTGTAAGTTACAAAACACACCCTTGGTATGTTATACCGAGTAAGGGGGGCTGCTAGGTGTATTCTGCACCAGATACGGATCTATGGAGATCTAAGGGGTTTCGTGTATCATGTTGGTATGTGTTTGTGGAAGGGCAATGCCCCTTCTGCCGTGCAGGGCTAGCGTGCCCTACTCATTTGATAAATAACCAAGGTCTTGAGTAAACCTTGCTTCGCAGCCTCTGGCGATAAGCACCCCCCCCCCCCCCGACAACCTGTATCATTGTATCTGGGGGCAAAGGAAAGAATCCGCCATGCACACATCTGGATGTATATTTTGATGGCATCGGATATAGCTTAAAGCGTCGGCGTGGTACCTGCAGTATTCTTAACGCTCGTCGAGCGTGCGTACGTGCGAACTGTTTCTGCCTTTCTTGTCTCGGTGTCTTCTCTTCTCTTCTTCATGCATCGCAAATATATCACATAGTGGTATCACATAGTGGTACAAAACAGCTTCTTTTTTTTATGTAGCGGACACGTGCTCATGATTGTTGTTCTAACAGCATGCATTCAAGAGTTGTGTCACGATGACTCAGTACGCACGACCAATTGAAACTAGTACCTGGTAATTCGATTTGACCCAACCGTTCAAGGCTATTTGCAACTGGTGACTCGACCCGACCCAAACCGCAAGACCTGTGTCACAGATGACTCCGACCCGACCACGCAGGGCGTGTGGATTTGTGACTCGATCCGATCCTGTCCATGACGTATTTGCAACCGGTGATATGATCCGAACTGACCCAAGAAGGCTTTTGCAACTGGAGACGCAACATGACCTGCGGACGCTGTGCTCAACTGGGTAGTCGATTGAATTACTGGCTCGATCTGACCCAACCCGCGAGTATTTTCAGCCCGTCGCGTCTTTGACCCGACCTAACCGGAACCGACCCCAGCCTTGAAGGCTTTTCGCAGCTGGTGACCCAGTCCGACCCGACCACGCAGGGCGTGTGGATTTGTGACTCGATCCGATCCTGTCCATGACGTATTTGCAACCGATGATATGATCCGAACTGACCCATGAAGGCTTTTGCAACTGGAGACGCAACATGACCTGCGGACGCTGTGCTCAACTGGGTAGTCGATTGAATTACTGGCTAGATCTGACCAAACCCACGGGTATTTTCAGCCCGTCGCGTCTTTGACCTGACCCGACCCGACCTGACCCATGAAGGCTTTTTGGAACAAGAGACGCAAACTGACCTGCGGACGTGTGCTCAACTGGGTAGTCGATTGACTTGGTGGCTCGATCTGACGTAACCCGCGAGTATTTTCTGCCCATGAAGTCTTTGACTTGACCTAACCGGAACCGACCCGTCCCGAGAAAATATCGGCCTCTTCAAAACCAAACCGAAAACAAAAACTCGTGAAAAGTATTGAAGCTGTATTGTTGCTGTGTCGCTGGTAGTAACGACTTGATGTCAAGCAATAGTGAACCATATCGTAGCCTGTATCCAACGGACGACATCTGTCTTACCATAAATCAATGATTGGCCTAAGTGGTCCAAATTGGCCATACGCTGCATTTGTTTTTTTCCAAAACTATCTCGTAGGTATTCGTGCTCATCTGTGCTATATTTTCGGGTTCGATCCTAAATAGACAGAGTGTACCTTTTTAGGGTAAGTTTGCCTGTGACCACGGGAATCGACCGCGTCAAGTGTTGGATCAGTACGGACATACGGAGGTACTGGGTAGAGAGAGATCGGAACGGTTTTTAATGTGAAGACAACAACAACCATATTTTGTCTTGCTAGCCGGACTGTTTCATTGTTTGTTGAATAAGGAGGATTCGTGTTCGTTTACCACAACAACGTTTATGATAGTAAACGTTTTACGTTGTGGGCTGCGTTGATACGTTGTTTAGTGATACGTTGTATATTCAATAAGTACGTGATCGTGTTCGTCCATCACGTTACGGGTTCCATGGTACATACCATGGTATGTCCATGTACCAATTTATAGACATTTGAGACTGATTACATTTCTAGCGGTTCCAGCTGTAGCGTAGCATACAAACCGCTGTGGGAGAAAATCTCTTATTCCTTCCTGTGGGGTACTTGGAACAAGAACATGCACAAGCACGTGCTATATAGAAGTATCAAAGAGCACTTTTGTTTGTGAATGGGCACTAGGAACGGACCTATCAGCGTTTGCAAAGGTCATCGAGCATGTGAATTCAAGCCCGCCGTACGGCCTACGCAGACTTAGCTTGTGGTGCGTTCCTGGCCGCATCAAACCGTTTCAATGAAACATATACCGGTAATAGTGACGGGCAGTCAGCCCCTCACACCGTTCACAATGAACAACACCACGTTTCATGTAAATACGCGTTCGATGCGGTCCTATTGAGTGCCGGGGAAAGCATGCACCCTCCCGGCTGCGCGGCCCAACTCAGCGAAGACCTTGTCGATCTGTGCAGGCAACTTCAGCTCCCTTTGGGGTGTGCAAATCCATCGAATACATACGGTAGTCAAATCGCATTCCCAACAGCACCTGATATAGACAGGTACCTTACAGTATGTTTACAGGAGCCCTTGATGGTGTTGACCCGTGTAGTTGCTCAGTACCCCGGTACTGATTTCTTGCAGTGCTCCCCTCTTGGTCTTTTGGACCTCATGAATTCCCGTGTTAGTAGGAAGGCAGTGTGTACAAGTAGAGCCTTTTGTTTGTGGTTGGGTACTAGGAACGGACCTATCAGCGTTTGCAAAGGCCATCGAGCATGTGAATAATAGCACGCCCTATGGCATGCGCAGACGTTCCTGGCTGCATCAAACGATTTCAAACATATACCGGGTACTTGCATGCTCGGTTTCCTCCTCCGGCATACTGTAGTGACGGGCAGTCAGTCCCTCACACTGTTCATCATGAACAATAGCAGCCGTGAGGACAGTTCATGAAATACGCGTTCGGTGCAGTCCTATCGAGTGCCGGGAACAGCATAAGCCCCCTCCCGACTGCGCGGCTTAGCCCAGCGAAGAACTTGTCGATCTGTGCGGTCTACTTCAGCTCCCTCCGGAAGTGCAAATCCCTCGATATACGGTAGTCAAATCGCATTCCCAACAGCACCTGGTAAATGCAAGTACCTTCGAGTATGTTTTCACAAGCCCGTGGCCGTGTCGACCTGTGTACTTGCTCAGTACCCGTGTGTCGTAGGGTACTGACTTCTTGTAGTGCTCCCCTCTTCGTCCTTCGGACATCGTCAATACCCGGTGTTTTGCAGGAAGGAAGTATGATAGAGCCTTTGTTTGTGAATGGGCACTAGGAACGGACCTATCAGCGTTTGCAAAGGTCATGTGAATTCAAGCCCGCCATACGGCCTGCGCAAACGTAGCTTGTGGTGCCTTCCTGGCCGCATCAAACCGTTTCAATGAAACAATACCGATAATAGTGACGGGCAGTCAGCCCCTCACACCGTTCGCAATGAACAACATCACGTTTCATGTAAATACGTGTTCGATGCGGTCCTATTGAGTGCCGGGGAAAGCATGCACCTCTCGATGGTGTTGATCATGCTGAGGAATCGGCGAACCGTATCACGGCCGTACCCCGCTTCAGTCAGGTTGGCGAGTCCAACGTGTCAAGGGCGACTGGCACCAGCGAGTAGTCTATGTTGTCAACGTCAAGCCGTGTTCCACATGTTTGATTGGAAGGCAGATTCTCTCGATTTTCCGACGTCGCGCTTGTATATCACTGGATTGTAGCAAAGAGGGCTTGGTGTTAGTTTCCCTGTAGAAGAGAGACATAACGACCTTTCAGATGCGTATTTTTGCCAAGTATCGCGACACGTTGTTCTTGTTGTCCAGATCAGAGAAAAGTTGGAGCAGGAAAGCTTTTGTACGAAATTCCTAGAGCCTTTTAAATGACGTAAGTCATCAAAGAAGCACTGTTCTTTCAATGCTAGTCCAGAATGTCTACAATACCGTATCGAACATGGAGAGATGACGACAAAGCAGTAGATACTCGCCTTTCCAGGGTTGCGTGTGTGGTCATGGATTTATTGTTTCCGGAACAAGCACCCCCGTCTCGAGCATCATGGTATCTGAATGATGACGAGAATAAGGGAATACATGCATGGTCATAGATTGGCCTGATTGTACTGTAGACGCTTGCGAGACACGATATTTCCAGCGAATACTGGAACAGGTGGAGAAAAAATCACGAACGAATATGTTGGGAATCCCACACGAACCCCACGTGAATCACGCTCAAGGTTACAGCGCGAAGGCTGCGGTGACTACCCAACCTCCAAGAGATGTGCGTGAATTCCAGAAGGAACCTATAGCAACAGAACAATTTTTATAACAATGTACGTGACTGGAACAGCTCCCATTGTCGCTCGGAAACCGGTTGTACCGAGTATCTTGTCCGGCCCGGCCGGTGTTTGACCCCGCTGCTGTTTCCCGTGCTTCTTGAGTTCCCCGCTCCTCCTTAACCGTCTCGCGAGTGCAGTAATCAAGGTTCTGGCGGGGCAGCGGCCGCCGGGCCAAATGGAGGAGGAGGGTCCGCCACCAGCGCCCCGAACGAAGCGCACAACAACCCACCGAATGTGAGGAATGTGAGGAAGCCATTTCAACCTCTCTGTCCCAGTTCATCTTGTAAGGTATCCATGAATAGTCCGTAATGAAGGTGAATCCGTGTGTCGACGCACACACACCTGTTGAAACTGTGCAACGGCCTATTCTTGTCTAAAGCAAACTCAAAGGCTGCTCATTGACCGTCCCAACCAGCAAGTGTATGGCACCTATTTGACGGCGAGAGAAATCCGGGCTTGTGTCCGCGGCGGAGTCCGATTGGTTCTTGTTGCCAATTGTGCAACTTGTCATCTGTTGGTCCATTCTATCGAGCGAGCTACACGGTCGGGTTGATTGAAGGGGCTGCGGACTCCGCATAACGCTCGTATGTGTGCATTTTTCGTGTAAAATGGCACCCAACTCAAGCTTGCCCGTGCGATACTCTATACTTGGACGCACCACCGTGCACCAGGCGTACCGTACTGTCCTTCGAGAACGCCTCCTCGCATGAAAACGCCCCCCCCAAAAAGCAAGTACCGCCAGGGTAGCAGGCACGTCAAGGTACACCCGCGGTTTGTGTTATAGACCCGACATTCGTGGGTCGGCGCTGTGGTTTGTGTACAGGTACCTCACAACAGAAAAAATAACATGTTGCAGTGTTTGAAAATGTCGCCCTCCACCTTCCAGAACGGCCCGGAGTGATGTTTTTGCCAAAGGACAAGACCACCCCCCCGAGGTGTTCTCAAATGATACTACGGTGTACATATGAAGCAAGCGTGCACGACTCCTTCGCCGTCCCAACACCCCAATCCCTCGCCGCGGTTGCTCTGCGGTGATATCACCTGCAGGGAAACACCTTGGCATCCTGGTTTGTCCTCGGAAACAAAGACATCATGTGGTACCTTGCAGAGTTCGTGGATCAGGACCAGTACCTGTTCATCGCTCCGGTGTCGAAGGCCTTCAGGCGCGCATGGGGTCCACGAGCTACGGTAACCCGACCCGTGGTGGCTGATACTTCCGTCAGGCAGCTCACGTACTGCTTGGAGCTCGGCCTGCCCTCGAGCATCAGGCAAGCGACCATCTGCAACGCCGCTGCCCGTTTCGGCAGACTAGACCTCCTTAAGCTTGCCCAAGAGAGCGCTTGCGGGTGGACCCCAGCGACTTGTGCTCAGGCCGCCAGGGGGGGACACGTTGAGACCCTGCAATGGCTTCGCGCAGAGGGTTGTGACTGGGATGAAAAAACATGTCAACTGGCCGCCCTCGGAGGTCATTCCCGGGTCCTGAAATGGGTGAGGTCCCCAACCGAGAACTGGCCGACGGGGACAGTGGACCCGAAATCATGCCCTTGGGGCCCACAGGCGTGCGCCGAAGCTGCCTATGCCGGGTGCCACGACACTTTGAAATGGCTTCGTACACACGGCTGCCCATGGGATGTAAGGACATGTGGATCTGCCGCAGCTGGCGGATTCTTCGACATCCTTCAGTCGGCAGTTGCTCAAGGATGCCCCCTGGACGGCGAATCCTGTTACTTGGCCGCTTGCAGAGGAGATCTGCCCATGCTTAAGTGGCTCCGGGATAACGACTGCCCTTGGGACCTCGAAGACGGGGGTCCATGCGCCGGGGCTGCACTTGGCGGCCATCTTGAAGTGCTAGTGTGGGCGAGGCGTAATGGATGTCCATGGAACGCGCGGACCTGCGCAGCGGCAGCGGATGGTGGGCACCTGGAAGTGTTGCAGTGGGCCCGAGAGAACGAGTGCGAGTGGGACCATGACACTTTCGCGTCGGCTACCTGGAGACAGCACTTTGGAGTTATGCGCTGGGCACGAGCGAACGGCAGTCCTTGGGATAGTCGGGCTTGCGCGATGTCGGCTGCAAGAGGGAATCTCAAGATCCTTCAATGGCTTCGTGAAGAGGGCTGTCCTTGGGATAGCGACAGCTGCACCAAGGCAGCCGCGCACGGGCACCTCACACTGTTGATTTGGGCCCTAGCGAACGACTGCACATGGGACGGGGAGCTTTCAGACGTGGCAGATGCCAACGGCTACGGCTACATCCGTGGCTGGGTGAAGAATAACGTTTGGCGGACCACTCGCAAGCGACCATACCGCTTGATATCGAGTGGTGACACTGGGCGAAGTGTTTCAATGCATTACGCACCCACTTGGTACCATTTGGTTGGTGATAACGGACCCTCGCCAAGGGACGCCCGCAGCTATAGCCCCGGGGGTGGGTATCGTTTTTTGTTTATTTTTCATCTTTTGGCCCCTCTACGTTTAAGCCCCGAGGTGTTATTTTTTCGGCAGATGTTTGGGGCACCCGGCGGGCCGTTTGCAGGCAAACCCACGGACGGCATTCAATTGTGGCAGCATCCTCGTGTGTGTGTCAGTTGCCGTGTTGTTGTAGTTGGTTTGGTGTTGGTGTTGCAAGCGGGTTGAATCCTGATATCTTGTGGGTCAGCGTGTCAGCGTGTCAGCGCTGCGTTGTGTTGTGTTGCACAGCAGGTGCATCATCACAGCAGAAGAGAGACAACGCCCCGCGGGGCCTTTTCGCCTGGGCTTTTTGTTTTGGTTTTCTAGAAAGAAAGCACGAGCGCCCTTCTTCCATAGAGCTAAGCCCGGCGGGGTTTATGATTTCCACTTCACAAAAGAAGGAGGACGATCGCCCCGGGAGGTGTTCTCAAAGGGTGTATATTACTGTATTTGACCATGCTGGTGCCAGATCAAGCCGTCGTGTTGCCGCACGCGCCGGCAATGTTGCCGAGCTCCTCCCTCCGTAGCGGATGCGGAGGAGGTCGTGGTTGGTGTACGTCGTGAACATGCCCTCTCGGCCCCGCTCGTTGTCGTACGTACGTGGTGCGGTCGGCCTCGGAAACCTGCCGCATTTCTTCCTTGCCGCTGCAGATGAGTGCACCCTTGGTGTTGAACGGGGGAAAAAAAATAGACGGGGGGGCATGTGTTCACGTTATTGTTGTAGTTCCGGAGCAGCTAGTGCATATAATATGTTCCCCTCCGACGCTCTCGCGATGCATCGATCGTCTCCAGTGCAGGGCGCGGCGAGCATCAGTGCATCAGACTTCCCAGGGCAGGCTGCATTGTTTTTTCCCCCAGCCATACAAGTAGTAGGCGACAACACTGGTACCAGGTATCTTTTAAACAATATTATTTGTTGCGAATATTTATTGATTCAATCGTTGCCTCTTGCCTCTCTGCGCTGCCAATTATTCATTGCTACAGTTTATTTTCTTTATTTTCCAGTCTAGCTAAGGTTACCTCGCATAGCGTGTAGAGGCGAGCGGAGTGGCCTAGACTATCTGTCGTTGATTGGCTTGCGGACCCTTCGAGTCTATTTTATTTTCGTAGACTATATATATCTTTTTTGGGTTAATTAGCCTGTGGCCACGGGGGGGGGGAATCGACCCCGTCAAGTGTTAGACTAGTTAGTACGGACAGAAGAAGGTACTGGGCAGAGAGAACGGAACGGTTTTTCATCTTTACTTTTGCACAACAAGAGTGTATTTTTTTGCGATTTACTACAGTCGTGGGCCCGGTTTAGCAGTCCATAGTGTCGCGAATTTTTATAACCGCTATTCAGGGCATCGCCGCTACACCACTTTAGCGGTCATTATCCGCTAAACCAGGAGGCTTAATAGCGGTCATGAACCGCGAACAACCCGTGAAAAAGCCCATTTTTGCCCTACAATTACAGCGTGGAGAGCTGATATTGATAGGGCCATGCGTATCATTGCAGCAGCAGTCATACGAAGGTGCAGACGAAGAAGTAACGAGCCAATGAAGGACAACGCCGCAAGCACATGCATTAATGATGCATTTAAATTCGCCAAAGCACGAAGATTATTCTCCCTTCTGGACTGTATGCATGCCCCTTTATAAGACTGGAAAAAAATCGTTCGCGTCTCTAACGAAGTGAAGTAGGTGATGAGACAAACTTGTGACAACGCAATGGCAATCAACCACGTGCTTGAGCATCTCATTTCTGCCATGTGTCGCGTATCGATCATTCTTCACCCAAAACAATCTGCCTTGCGCGCTGGAGGAGCGGCGTGCGCTGCGAGGAACCCCATTTTTGCCTTGCGAAATAATGTGCTGCTTCGCTTACGCCACACGACTCCGCGCTCTCCACGCTCGCCAAAATCCGATGATACCTCCGAGTGTGGTGGCGGCGACATCACCCCCCTGCCCTTCGCTCCGTCAAATTGTGCGGTGGTATCTAGCCCTAGCTCTAGGTCGTCGTGTCGTCGTCGGAGGGGTCAGGCCCCCCTCCATGTACATACCGGACAACTTTCAACAACAACCTCGTCATTCGCGCCCTTTTACGCAAAGCTTCGGCGATCTCTTCCTGTGCGCACTATTTCTGCGTGCGCTACCTTCTGGTCAAGAAGCTTCAAAACCTCGAGATTCTAGCCAAAGTAGAGCCGCGTGTGGGGCTGTTGTCGTGTAGCTGCAGCGCGAGTTGTTTCTTTCCGCGCGCCTGGTGCTAGAAAGCCACCTAACACCTCTTCTTGGCGCTTGGGCGGAGTTGAGAAGTGAGGGGAACTCTGCGCCTTCTTGGTTGTACGCCGGTTGCATCTCGTTCTCATCCGGAACCTCCACCTCCCCACACACATGCCGTGTATGCGGCCACCACAGCAACCTTTACAATCATGCGCGCCGCTTGGACTCGTGCCGCATCTAGAAGCTTGCACAGTTCTTCTCCATCCACGCGCCGCATGGTGTGTGTCTTTATTCTTAGCATCGACCGTGCTAACCGGCTGACCAATCAATGACGTTAGTCTCAGTGAGGTTGAAAACACAGAACACTTCTACATGCCATTAACTGGGACCTCGTGAGGGGGCGGCATGGGGCAGGTAAAAGCTATTCCCCGGAGTAAGGACAGACACGGTAGGTAGCAACAGAGGAAAACTGCCACCTTGCACTCGAGTTCGTTTTGGAGTGTTTTCACCATCATCCTCCTTGCTTTCACCACCATCACTCTCATCGTCGTTTCTTCAGCTATTTTTCGGCGATTCTTCTCTGGCCCTGCGTCGTTTGGTGTATGTGTGTGTGTCTCGCTGTGTCCTTTTTATTATGAGGATCGACCAGCTAACAGGCTGACCAAGTCGGTGTGGTGTGAGTATGTGCAAGCGAAGCGCGCACTACATGCAGGTCCCCGCAAAAATGGAACCGATAACCGCTATTGGTGGCTGCAAACATGTCCAATAACCGCTATTATTGAGGGCACGACCGGTTTAGCGGTTGTATAACCGCTAAACCGGGGTGCAGCCGTGTCACGAAATTTTATAACCGCTCTTCAGGGCATCCCGCTAAACAGGGAACCGCTAAACCGGGCCCACGACTGTAACTACAACAATCAATCCGCCGTCGGGTCGTGATATGACAACACCGCAGTAAACTCAGCCAGCGGCTAAACAATCCCCCTAAAAATTCAAATCAGCTTCAGACAGGTAACGCCGACGATGATACTCATCGCGTTGATTTGATCACATGTAGCGTAGTGGAGCTTTGAAAATCAGCCCAGGGGGTGTGATGTCTTGCGTCATCCCCGTGACTGCGGGAACTGTTATGTCCAGCATCCAACACTTTTTGCGAACACGTCTCGTAAGCCATCTTCCATTCATTCTGAGACCGGTAACGCCCCGCCTCATCTGCATCTATCTGTGGGTGTACACGCCAATAACTCAAACTCAGGGTTATAGCGAAACGATAATTTCGACACGCATGTGTTTCGGGGCGTCAGACACATGACAAACCACTGTAGGTGTGGCGCTCCACATCGCGCGCGAATTGGATGAAAACATCCCAATAGATGCATTGCACATGTACGTATGTACGTGGCGCACCAAGGCTACGCAAGACACCCACCCACGGTGCCGGTACAAACAAGGGCGACGATGTGCGCGCCCCCTCCCCGCCTTTTTCGCTATGTAGTTTACGTTACATGCAAGGGGCTGATAGATTCGCTTCGAATCACGGTGTGAACTACTGTAACTGCTGTGAACGACGTAGTAAGTGGCGACCTGTTCAAAATGAACGACGACAGACAGGCTGCCCTCAACGCAAAAATTGGACACGTGATTTCAGGAGCCGCGAGGACAAGATCGACTCGTCGGCAAACTCGACGTGGATCTATTCCCTCTGCCCTTACGGGAGGAGAGCGCTTGTACGGCGTCCACAAGCCAGCTCTGCTGTTGCGGGGTGATACTCCAGACGGCGAATAGCGTTCGAGTAGCAAAGCATAAACTTCACACCATGACGACCAAAAAAATGACCGTCAAGCGCAAAACTGCGCGGCTTCACTTATCTCCAACAATAGCAACCGCTCCCCTGTCTTCTCTAGAGGCAAAAAAACATGAAAACCGGGTGTCACTGCACAAAACCTTCATACATACCATATTTTCAGGGCATCATAAAACTACCCTTTTGACTCCCAACGCCGGCCGCCCCCCCCCGCCGCTCTGCGGCAATCTCTATCAAACAACTCCGTATCGGGATTATCACACGCGCACCCTCGAAAGGGGTACAATGCGCGTTCGATGGTCCAAAAGACCGGGAACGGAGAGAGAGCCCGTCCCTCTATAATTCTCAGCGGACGTACGTCACAACGACCGTGGGTGGGTGGGAGGTGTTTCTTCTTCTGAGGCCGCGGGACGCATATTATTACTACACGACAACGTCACTCGATGACGTCAACTCTACAAGTACATGATGTCGACGACGTCACTTGGTGACGTGGCTTCTTCTACATGATGTAGTCGATGACGTCACTCGATGACGTGGCTTCTTCTACATGATGTCGACGTCCGCGAGAGCGAAAGACAGAGTCATCCCCGGGTTCTCCTCTTCCACGGCTACCGCCGCCAGGTCTTCCGAGTCTTCCTCGTCGGGGACGGGGTCTGAAACGCTCACCATCACGAACCGTAAGCTGAACCGAACGTTCACGAACCTGAGGAGTTTAGACGGGCAGCGGCGGCGGGGATGAGAATGAGTGTAAATTCCGGCCTCTCATGTACGTCTGCGTTGCGGCCATCCATATATCGCCCCCCTCTGCGAGAGTTGATGCAGAACACCTCGGCTCTTGTTGCTGCCAGAGCCACTTAGCAGGCAACCTGTTGCATCGTAAAACGATCGCTTGCTGTGTACATATTTCTATCGACAACTGGCTGTCACAAGCATGTGTTGTCCGTGCGGTTTGGTATGAGCGGGTGGGGTGGTCCACGAGAGAGCACGTTCTCACCATGAAGACCCCTTGTCCCCTCGAAGCGCCACCCACTCGTCGATGTCCCCGCGATCGTCCAGCTTCCCGAGCGGGACGTCTACCTCCCCCAGCCGCTGGTCCGCCAGGAACTGCTTCCGCCACACCGCTATCCGCACGCACCTAGGCGGGCCCTGGCTCCCCATCCCCCCCTTCCCGGTGCCGCCCATGACGAGCTCGTAAGCCCCGTCCCCGTAGGCCAGCACTAACGGCGACGCCTCCTCCGGCAGCGGGAACCGAAACGCAGCCTTGGCGCCCCAGCGGGACTGTTGGCTCTCCTGCCCGTTCGCCGTCGGCAGCAGCCGCTTTATCGCGGTCACCGACGTGTTGCGGCCGCGACGCTTCGCCGCCGCCTCGCCGCCGCTGTGGCCGGCGGCAGCGGCGGCGGCGTAGTTGCCGTTGTCGTTGCCGTTGCCGCCGGCCGCCGTCATGTCGAGGCGCTTGAGGCTTACCGCGGCGAAGACGTCCGTCTTGGCGGGGTGGTAGTGCGGGCTCAGGTTCTTGAGACCGAGGAGCTGGACGCTGACCAGGGCTTGGAAGCGGTGTGGTAGTCGCAGGCGGCGAAACAGGGCGTTCCTGGGAGGCCGGGGGGGGGGGGGGGGGGGGGGGGGAGGATTAGGAAGAAGAAAAGGAAGAAAATAGAAGGAAGAA